GTGTGTGTGTGTGTGTGTGTGTGTTTGCTGCACTGGAATTTTAGAAGGGCAGGTGCAGAACCTTCCTTCCGAGACTTCACTCAGCAGCCCACTGTGATAAGAGCATGGGGTTTCGTGGTTTGTTTTTTGTCCGTGTTTGGTATGGTTTTTGCCAACTCTGGCCTCAGAACCGCGAGCCTTAGACAGCCAGGCAGCCTGTGGACCTTGGCCGCCGAGTGCGACGGGAGGTGCAGCCCCGCTGGAGAGCGGCGTGTCCTAAGGAGTTTTGAAGGTCATGGTAGACCTAAAAAAGCAAGAGTTGGCCACGTGCCTCCCATTTCTACGTGGATAGCTGTTATCAAGGGAGGAAACTCATCCATAAAACCATACAGTCTTTGCCGTTGTTGCAACCCTGGGTTTCCTTCTGCAAATACATAAAAGTGATTAATTTGAGATCAAATTAAGCCAATTGTGGAGAGGTGGAATTTGAAGTAATAAGAAGAGGGAAGAAAACATATGCGAGTTCAAAAATAAAAAGACCCGTTTAACTATAGTTACTGCATGAGAAATCCATCTTTAAAATATGCATAGTATCTTAAATCGCTAGATCAGCCCATGTCACATTGCATTCCAGGATTTTTTAAAATGGAAACTGCCATATTTCTTTTAAAAATTGGTTGGCATTATTGAAGTCCTGATTATATCTTACTATTCACCAGACACTTATGTCCATTCCTACCCATTTCACTTAATCCAGACCTTTCAAGTAGTCTAATAACTACTCTCTTTGCACATGCACACCACACACACACACATTTCATTCTATCTATACACTGCAGGTAAAGCCATTTTCCTAAAACCTCTCTGTCCCAGTCACTCTTCTCTAAAAAGCACGTACTGTTCTCAGCAGCCCACAAGATAGGGGCCCACCAGCCAAGCCTTCCTCTCCCCTGCTTTTCTGGGCACCCCCTCATTTCTCCAACTTGATCTCTCTCCATACAGACCTTTAGGCAAGCAGGCAGGTCGGCACAGTATTGCTTCAGCATACCAAATACAATCCCACTTCACCCCTGCCTTGGAATGTGCCCTCCCCCCCCC